GGAGAGATCAACCAAAGGACTTGTATGCATGCATATAAGCCTAACCAATGGACACAGACAACAGGGGGGTGAGGGCATGAGTGGGGGTGTGTGGGCGCAATGAGGGGGTAAGGACATATATGTAATACCTTAATCAATAAAGAATTTTTTTAAAAAAATTAAAAAACAAAACAATAAGTTATATCAATATTATTAGCATAAAGATATCCACAATATAATTTATGCTAAAAAGCAAGTTGCAGAACAGTACATATAGTATGATAAAATATGTGTAAAAACAAACAAAAAAAAAGAAATTGAACTTGTTACAGTTAAAGAGCTTATGCAACTTGATTTTGTGAAATTTTTTTGTCATGTCTTTCTCATTTTATTGGGATCTTCAGGGAAGAGCAAAATTAAATTCAAACATTCAATTGATAATGTAAAAAAAAGACTTTGCTATGTAATAACATGGTTGATTAGTCATGCCTGTGTGGTCACTCTACGTGGTTAAAATAGAACACTGAGACATTGTCCAAGTCACATCTGGAATGGGGTGGGGAGAGTATTTCCCTAAAGGAGGGTAGAGATGATGTCAGAAGCAGGTGTAGGTGCTGGGAAGACCAGAAAAGATGCCTATTGTATGTAGAGATGATATCACTAAAATTCAGTAGACCAGAATATAAAGAAACAATATAAAAAGTCTTTAAATGTTTGTTCCACTAGCACCATAGTTACACAAAAGAACTTTGCCATAATCAAGATGTAAAGGTTATAGAAAAGCTTAAAAATCAATTTAGGGGAAAATTAATTCCCCAAATGTTCCTTATAAACCTTTGAATAGGGACCCAGAACAATAAAAGCTTATTACCCATTAAAGTAATATTGTTAACTTGGCAAAGAAGATAACTTAAACTTGCTTTGCTCTTGTTCCCAATTATTATTGCTTTCCCCTCCAAAATTCTTTTGATGTACTGAGATTCCTTAATGTACAGAGTTGAAAAAGGATCAGTGAACCAACAATTACATATTGTAGCCATTTCCAGACATGTTGGAAATAAAGAGGAGCTTAAATTATAGTCATTGACTTTGAAGTGTTTGCAGGTTAGATGTAGAGATAGAAGCATTGAAGTGAAAAGATAATAGCACATGGTTCTGTATGACAAATACCAAAAAGGGTAGAGACACTGAGCTGTTCACAGCCAGGGCCTTTTCATCCATTGGCCAAGGTAGTGCAGGAGATGATAAGGGGCAAGGCAGGCTGTTGGAGCTAATGCAGGACAGTGCTCATTGTGGCGCAGGCTCCATTCCCAGGGAACATGTCTGTCCAGGCAGCCAGGTGGATGGTTGGCAGCAGGTTCTGAAAATTTAACTTTGCATATTAAGGCAGTGCTTCTCAACCCCGGGGTGATTTGGCCCCGGAGAGAACATTTGGCAATGTCTGGAAATAATTTTGGTTGTCACACCAAAATAGATGGTTGAATTGTCCTACATTGCACAAGTCAACCCTCCCTCTCCTCGCCCCCCAACAAAGAATGATTCAGATCAAAATGTCAATAGTATAAAGGTTGAAAAATCCTGCATTAGCAAGTTCTGTTGAGATGAGG